TCGATAACCCGGCTCCTCCCCCACAAGTCACTCCATGTCAAGTATCTTGAGCAGATACTGAACCCCGAATTGCTCCCGATGTCGCTGCATCGTGTGCTGAATGTGTTATGATGAAGTTAGTTTCTGTTTGAAAGGGTGAATGTGGCAATGTAGTGTAATGGTTGGAGCTGTTTGAGTACCAGGTCCATTTACCATTTACGTGCCAAAATATCCTGTGCGGATGAAAACAAAGTTGAGTTGTTTGAAAGACAACACTGACGTGTGGAGGAAAAAAGCACAGCACACCAACATCGAATCTCATCCAAGTATGTGGAGGGGGCATCATGTTTGGGCTGCCTCTTGCCTGCTCAGGGACTGGACAGCATTGCTATAACACTGAAAATGAATTTCCCAAGTTTTATCACATTTTTTCAGGAGAACTTAAGGCCACCTGTCCCCAATTGAGCTCAACAGAAAATGGGGATGCCACAGACAAACGACCCAAAGCACAGAAGTAAATCACAGAATGGCTTACACAAGAAAATACCTTCTGGAGTGGCCCAGGTCACCGAGTCCTGATCTCAAACCCTGATTGAGAATGGCTGCTGGCCAGACCTCAAGAGTGTTCACACAGGACCATCCCAAGAATATTGCTGAATAGAAACAGTTTTGTAAAAGAGGACTGTCCAGCATTCCTCCTGACCCGCGTGTGTCGGGCAGGTCTTGACTCTGGGCAACCTACGAGGAAGAGCGTTGGGGCTTGAGGTTATTGCCTGCCCGAAAGGAGGGGTCAACCCAGTTATTAAATCCAAGGGTTCACCATACTTTTCCTTCTCCAGTTAGCCATGAAGGAACACCTAATTACGCAAGTCCCAACACAAAGTCATGAACTCTGAGCAATAACGGCTGTTTTGTACTTTAGAATCTTCTCATGCCTGTGAAATTGAGGTTTTTCGTGACTAGTGCCTTACCAGGAAGAAGGGAAGCTTTTTCCCTCTCCTCCTATTGCATATGCATATCTGTCTTTATAATCAAAGCTCAATAATTCCAAGCAACAGTACCTTTAATAACTAATATACATAATACCATTCTTACATAATACAAAATTTATTTGGCACCCAACTCCAAGCCTGACTGTTGACCTCCCTGCAGTCAAAGAAGTTAAAATAGTGAACACATACATATCTTTGTTTCCAGATTTTTACTCCTTAGACAGTGGTATGACCTTAACTCCGTCACAACCAAGTAACACACAGACCAACATGTCAAAAGAAAAATGGAATGACATTTTTTTTTCTGAACTGGAAGTCAATGGCATTTGAGACTACGGTCTACCCTGCACGCCGTCCTACAGAAGACAAAAATGAGATTGACGCCCTCCTAAGTTCGAAACAGAGATGTGTGAGCAAGGCCATACAAGCCCAAACGTTTGGAAGCAACTTTAAGTTCGGTTCAAAAACACCTACTTCGTCAAAGAACAAAGAAAAAGAGGAGTGACTATGATGACTGGAAATACATGAAAAGCGATTTGAACTTAATTTTGGTTGCAAATCGCAGAGCTCCTAGTGTCCGCAGACCGACAACTGTACTCCCATACTGTCTGCCATGGCGCCGCGCGCGAGTGGCAAAGCCTTTCACGGCAGCTCCTAGTGTGCAGTGATCTTTTTGACTTTATAGTTATTAGTTTGCTTTTTGGCTTTTTTATATTCACCATTTGTGCCCTTGTCCACATCTGATCAACTTCTTAATCCAATAAGAATATGGTATTTATTTACCCCCCAAACCTCGTTTATCTCGAGAAAAAACTAACTTATCCACGCTGAAGACAAAGTCCCTGGGCCCCGGTGGTGGTTCCCCAGTTACTCTGACGAGGTGAGGAAGACCCTATCGTGGCTGCAGAGCCGGCCGCAAAGCTAAAGCGCAGCCCGAACTGGCCGTACAGAAGTGCAACTATAAACACTCCTGTACGCTGGAAATGTTAACTCCCACTACAGAACACAAATCGACGACACTGCCCTGCCTGGCTGAACAAACGCGTAAAATCTAGCAGGGAGTGCAGTTTGCCCTGATGCTTCACGAAACGGTGCTAATGCGCTAACGTTCCAAGACGTTTAACCGTTGAGCTACCCGGGCTTCAGCACCCAGTCAGGTCGCGACCCCAGAGACACCTAATGCCTGTGGGACAGCGGAAAGGAGGCGGACCTAGCTGTATACCGCGTCGAACACAACGGTGTGTACACCCTGGACATGTGACACTCAAAGATTCCATCTGCAACAGGGAACGTTGCAGCCTGGCCCTTGCCGTAGTTGCGACCCCTTCTCACACTTGC